TTGGGTAAAATCAATATGATGGATAACCTGCAGAAGAAGAGACCTTTTTTTGTGTTTATCTCCTAACTGGTGTATTTTTTGCAAAGCGCAGAATGAGGACTGTTACCACTTATTGATTTCTTGTCCTTTTGCTGCAGCCATTTGGAATTGGGTATTTGATTTATTTGAGTATAGGTGGAACTTGCCAGCTGAGGTAAATTTGTTGTTTTCCCCTTCTACCTTTGTGTGGACCACAAGAAGAGGGAGAGTCGTGTTGAAGTGTATAAGAGTAGCTCTCCTTTGGACTATTTGGGAAGAGAGAAATTCTAGAATTTTTCAAGAGAAGGAAAGAAGCATTCTTGAGGTCAAAGAGTGTATTGTTACAAGGACTATTTTGTGGCTGAAATCCTTAAAGCTCTTTGAAGATTATTCCTTTGAGGACTTAATGAGGAATTGGTCTGCAGTTGCTCTCACTTCCTCTACGAAGCCTAGAGTCCAAGTAACTTGGACTCCGCCGATGGAGGGTTTTATTAAGCTGAGCTTTGACGGAAGTAGTCAGGGTAACCCAGGACCGTCTGGGATTGGTGGTGTACTGAGAGATGAGAACAACAACATTGTTGCCCTTTTTTCGGGACCGGTGGGAATAGGAGACTTTGTGAGGGCTGAACTCCTAGCTGCGGCACAGGGGGTACAGATTTCCTATCAACTCGGAGTGCAAAACTTAATAATTGAAAGAGACTCCAAGGTGGTAGTAGGATGGTTGGCTGACCCCGGTACTGTCACTTGGAACTTTAAGGATATTTTAAAAAAGGTTAAATGGCTATTGAGGGGTATGACAGTTACAGTGGTTGGGTAGATCGGCTAATGCCTTGGCTGATTATCTTGCTAAACAAGGGGCTACTCAGGTTTCATTGTGTTGGGCTTCATTGTAATTTTCTTTTTCCTTTGTTATGTTCTTTAACTAAAGGGTTGATGGTTTCTTCCATCTCCCCTCTTTAAATGGGAGGTAGCATCTCATGCCTCTCCCGAAGTTGTATTATCTTTGACTTTGATTTAATAAATCTGAATATTCCCTGATAAAAAAAAAATAAAAATAAAAGCTTTCTTTGCTTTACTAATAAAAAAAGGTTAAACATTTTGGCTTCAAGTGACCACCCATCAGACAGGTGGATTCTGCCAAGTGGAGGTGATGGCGGCAAAATAGGATTTATGTAGCTGACCTCATATAGTTGGGACAAGGCTTAGATAATGATGATGTTCTCTTACAGGGATATCAATGTCATTTCAGATGGATTAGGTTTGATAGTTTGAGTTCACATGGCTGGAATCATGGTTGTCAAGGTGGGTGCATAGCATTAACATGGATGGATCATGAGTTGACATTGCCCCCAGTTGGGCACCTAGTGTTGATACCTTAAATCAAAAAGATTCCCTCTAGGTAAAAAATCACAAGGTCACCTTATTATAATACTAGTGGGGACCTGTGCGATGCACAAGGAGATCTGAAAGATTGAATAATTTTATTTACTATTAATCAATTGATAAATTAATAATAAAATTTTGTTGTTAATTAACTAAAAATATTCAAAGTTATTGTTAATATTTAAAATTTTAATAATTGTATTTTTATTTAATGTTGATTTATAGAAAATAATTATTGTTAATTTAATAGGAACAAATATTTTTTAATAAATTTAATTTTATTAATCATTTGTAGTAATTTTAATAACTGTTATTATTTTCATTATTTTTAAATGAAATTTTGATTTACTTTAAATAAATAAAAATAATTACAAAAGTTAAAATTTAATTTTATTGATTTCACTTATAATGAATAATTATATAGGAATGGAAATGGGGCGGGGCACCCCCTCCTTGTCCCTGTCCCATAGTCAAGACACTCTAATCCATCCCCGGTGCCAAGCGGGTTCAAGACAAGGCACCTATTCCCCGTTAGGGACAAGGAATCCTCGCATTTCCCTACCTTGTCTCGGTGTCAGGCGGGTTCAAGGCAAGGCACCTACTCCCCGTTAAGGATAGGGAATCCTCGAATTTCCCTGCCTCATCCCCAGTGTCGGGCGGGTTCAGGGCAAGGCACTCCCCGTTTGGGATGGGGAATCCTTGAATTTCCTTGCCCCATCCCCGGTATCGGGCAGGTTTAGGGCAAGGTACCCACTCCTCATCAGGGATGGGGAAAATCCTCAAATTTCCCCGCCTCATCTCCAGTGTTGGGTGGGTTCAAGGGAAGGGCACCCACTCCCCATCAAGGACAAGGATCCTCGAATTTTCCCTCGCCCGTCCCTGGTGTCGGGTGAGTTCAGGGCAAGGCACCCACTCCCCGTTAGGGATGGGGAATCCCTTGAATTTCCCTACCTTGTCCTCGATGTCAGGTGGGTTCAGGGCAAGGTACCCACTCCCGGTCAGGGACGGGGAATCCTTGAATCCCCCCGCGTGGAACCTTTGATGACAAAAATAATCAAAAGGATATACCGAGTATAAACCAAATGGTAAATTTCAAAATGTATACTAAATTATCTTTAATTTTCAAAAATGTAATTTTATGAAAAATTTGGAAAACTTATTACATTTTTGTAATTTTGAAAACTTATTGAAATTTATTTTTAAATTGTTATTAAATAATTTATTTTCTTTTTAAATGGTTTACTTAAAAAATTACACCAACTTATCTTATAGTTTCTAATATAAACTAATCAATAATTTCGTTTTTCTGATATTATATTAATTTATCTTAATAATTTGTGTAATTATTGGTTCAAATTACAGTTTCCCTTTTCCCGTACTCATTTAGATTTAATAATTTTCAATTAAAATTACACAAATTTTCAATGATTTTCCAAAATCTATTAAATGTAATAAATTTTCTTAAAATTTCCAAAATATTCCAATAATTTTCAATAATTATTTACTACATTTTAAATAAACTTTCAAAAATTTTCCAAAAGTACAATAATATATCTTTTATTGTCCAATATAAATTAATTAATAATTTCATTTTCCAAGATTATAATATTTTATTCCCCCATCTACATTCGATAAAATTTTATACTTTTTGATAATTGTTAAATATAATTCTCAATTTTATAGAACTTAGTTAAAGAGTTTTCAATTTCTATAAAATGTTGTTAATTAATATGAATATAACAGTATTTACCCAAAATACATTAAAAAGTCATGATGAATTAATTAATAACAGTATTTATTAATTTTTGGTAATAACAGTATTTAATACTCATTGAATATGGGTTGGATTAAATATTAACCGTATTTAACTATTTATTAATTAATATGAATATTTTAAATGAGATAGAGCAGATATAGATTGGGGGGTGGAGAGATTTTAGGAATTGATTGGGGAGTGGGGTATACGTTCCTAATGGCTTAAAGGAGATATCTTAGGAGAGAGATTCTAGGAATATTTTTAGGTAGTTGGATTGGGAATAGAGAGGGAGAATCTGGTGACTTGGAGAATGCAGGGTAAGGAGAGGCATGGTGACGTGGACAGTCTTGCAATATATATATTATAATATTATTACCATGTTGCATCTTATTATTATATTTTTTATACATTCTATTATATTTTGTATATGAATTATGATTTGTTTTAAGGTTGTACTATTAAAATATAATAGATCCAAAGGATTTGAGTGAAAATGAAAGAAGGATAAAAGAAATTTCTTCTTTGTTCTACGGCTACTCTCTCTTAAATTTAATAGAACAGGGTCTCCACTCCTTTTTCTCCTGTTAATCTCTATCTTGCATTTTTATTAGTATAAATCTATAGCCTTATTTAGTTGTTAATTTGACATGAAAATGCTCTATTACATAGTTTATTATATTGTAGTGTAATTTTTAATTATTGAACTAATAGATTTAAAATGCAATTGTCTTTTTAGATATGATGTTTTGCCATGTTTTGAAGGAAATTTAATTTTATTAGTAAAGAGCATTATTGGTCTACAATTTATAGGCATGTTTATTGGTTTATACAACTAGGGAAATAACCTTGATTTTTCTTTTCTTTTTATTTTTGGCTGGGTACTCCAATGCTGCCTAGAATCACCTATACTGCTTACCAACTATGGATGGAATTAATAGATAGTTCTTTGTTACCTTAGCAAAGCCTGTGTAGCTATGTATTTATACAGCTTTTTCATGGCTTCATAATTCTTTTTCCCTTGATGTCCATCTTGCATAATCTTTTTTGTCACATCCCCATACTGTGGAGAATAATTATTTTGTATTTACATTCTGTTCTTAGTTTGGTGCTTTGGCGTTTTTTACCTTGATTTTATTGGGTATATCAGTCTTTCTTTGTAGGGTGTCAAGTCTTTTAATGACCTAATGAGCCTGTCTGGTGATTTATTAGTGCTTGTAACATAACATATGGATAAAAGGAAAGGGGACAGTCAAAGGCTGTCTTCTTGAATTCTTTCTTCACTGTATAGTTCTCTTCTCTGCTATATTCTACTCTCCTGCTATGTACATCTTCTACTTTTTGATTCAAGGTTAAGGTGATAGTCAAGTAAGCATCAGAGCTGTTCAAACAACAATAAAGAACAAGAGAAAAAGAAAAACAATAGAAAATGAAAAAAAGGCCGAAGTGAACCATGCATCTCTATACCAACATCTAATTAGTTTTGCTTTAAATTTTTGTTAGTAGATCACTCAAGATTCAATTTTTTTTTTCTTATAAAAATAAAGTCTTCTCGGCAATTTTTTCCCTAACCATCCTCTTCTAACTAGTATGTCCCTACATTTCTTCCAAGTGACCTTCCAGATCATTTCCCCAATTTAAATAATGTTTCTTTATTACATCCAACTTCCTCTCAAGTCAACCCTCCACCCCCACCCCCACCCCCAAATGGCACTTCTGCATCTTGTCTACTTCCAAGTATGACACATGGATGAAGAGGACTGCTTCCTCTATTATTTCTATGCTGACTGAATCACCAGTTTCTTGCTTCTCATGTCATTTTTGCTTGTTGAAAATTTTTCTACAGAGTGCAGGAACAGACTCAGCAGTCAACTTATGGTTTGCTTCTGCTACTAGCAGTGAGGATTCAAAATCTGAAAGGTCATTTACTTTTCAATGTCTATGAGCTAAATTTTCACCAATATTTTTTCCACATCTTTGTATTTCTTCTGATTCTACTATTAAATTTTATTATTGCTTGCAGTCTGCTAGAGTCACCTACTCGGAAGGTTGATCCATTACTTAACTCATATAATGACTATGAAGACAGTGTTTATGGTATTTCCATCTCTCAGAATATGAATGCGATCATGGTGCTTATAAGTTTACACTCAACTAACTTGTAATTTGTGATTACAGGCCTTGCATGGAGTTCTCGTGAACCTTGGATTTTTGCATCGTTGTCATATGATGGAAGGGTAACACCAAAGACTATTAGAAAGAAACAAAAATACTTTGTAATGCTAACGAGTACTAAAATGTATTTTGGGGAAATAAAAGGAAAATGGGCTCTTAACCCAAGGGGAAAATGCAATAGAAAATGAAGAATATACATGGTTTTTTGAATGATAATTATGATACAATAACATAAAAGAATTTTCTACGTCTCTTGTTGATGATGATTCTATGCTTTACCAACCCCTTATGATGTCATCCATTGTGAAAGAGCTAAAAAGACCAAATACACCACCTTTACCACAATGTTCTCTTCAAAGCTTCTTTAGTATGATTTTCTTCTTGAAAGAATGTAGCATTTCTTTCTTCCCATATGGACCAGATCATTGCAGCCCTTCTCTCTTGTCTTAGAGGAGAAAAGAAACTGTCCAAACAGAGGCTCTGCAAGTTCCCTGTAGGGCTTCACCTGCAACCGAAGAAAAGAAACTCCAAATATCACATTTGCACTACATTGTCCTCTATTGTCACCATCTCAGTGGATGTGTATGACATTGTGTGTTATATTCTGTATATGGTCTTTATTTTTCTTTTATAATTTTTTCCTTTTTGGGTTTAAATATATCTGGTCTCAATTTCTGGCCATGTCAATCCGTATTTCACTTATTACCAGAAATTTACTTAAGATGCAATAACCCAAGGTCATTTACTTTGGGGCTACAGCCAAGAACGGATCTTAGATTACCTGTGCTATTTACATTGATAACATGGCTCTTTGTAATGGTTACTAGTATATGTTTCTTTTAAAAACTCGATTTAATATCTTTAGTTTTTTTACAATTTGATATTAAACCTTTCTTATGTTAATAGGTGGTTGTAGAATCGGTCAAGTCTTATCTCCCACGGAGGTGAAAGCCAGTCTCTTATGGTGGGGGGAAGCTGGTAAACCCCCTTCTTTTTATGAATTGTTAAGATACAGCAATTTCCATCTTCTGCTGCTTTCGTTCTGGATTCCTTGGTGCTGCTGAAGATCATACAACAACTCAAGATGTTTTGTTCTAATTCTATTCAGGATGTGTTGCAAATCTCATATACCATCAAGGCTGGTTTGGTTCTTGACTGAGAATGTAAATCTTAATTTTTTTTTTCTTTTGAGGCTTAGGCGGATACTTTTTTTGTATGAAAGTTTGTCGGCTGTGAATTAAAATATAAAAAGAGGATTCCAAATCCTTGTATCTGATGTAAGAGGCTAGAGTTCCAGTAAAGCTTCACTAATCTGATACAATCTTGTGGATATGTAGTTTGTGGACATCACGCTTTTTAAACCAAGCTAGATCTTGTAATGTTCTTGCTACATTGGCTGTGAATTAAAATATAAAAAGAGGATTCCAAATCCTTGTATCTGAAATAAGAGGCTATAGTTCCAGTAAAGCTTCACTAATCTGATAAAATCTTGTGGATATGTAGTTTGTGGACATAACGCTTTTTAAACCAAGCTAGATCTTGTAATGTTCTTGCTACATTAGATATAATTGGAAATTTATACTTCTTGTCAGCGTTGGCTTGGGAATGATTAGATGCATATGCAGAGCCTTCCCTGGCACTGTTGTTTGTATCATCTAACCTGCAAGCTGCAATTAGGGGTGTCTATGGACCGGTTTTGGTTTGGACCTGTCCAAATCAAAATCAATTTGGATGGACCAATATGACACATTGAATTGGACAAGTCCAGGCTTAGTGGTCCAAAGTATTTATTGGATTGGATTGAACCTGGTTTATCCACATTGGATTTATATGGGATTGGGTTGGATTGAACTGATATCCAGTCCATTGATAGAAGATACGAATAGAGGTGTCAATGGACCAGGTTTGGGTTGGAAGTTGGAACCAATCTAAATTAAAACCAATTTGAACAGAATCAAATAGATTGGACAGTCCAGACATTGAATTGGACTGGTCCAAAGTGGTCCAGAGTATTCATTGGATTGGATCGATCCTGGTCTATCTGTAATGGGCTTTATTAGATCGGAATGGATTGTACCAAATCTGGTCCAATTGACACTCCTACTGGCTGTACCTGAGGGTGTGCTCATTTTAGTTTGGGATTTGGGACCGACACCATCAAACCATGTGAATTGAGAAATCGGGCTGTTTAGTGTTGCGACCTCTGTGTTAACTGAGCTCAATTTTGGAAGTCATGCTTAGTAGTATGGGCTGAGGGAAAGTAGAACCGCGGACCGTAAATCTAAGGGGTTTGTGTCATCATTATTGTTGTTTTTGTTGTTGCTGCTGTTGCTTATTGCTTGGTTTTATAGGCTTTATAGCCTCTTAAGACTGCTACTTATACCTATTTCATTTACTAAAGAACTGCTTGTAGCCCAAGGCCCCGATCATCTGCGCAACAGGAGCTTGCCATGCCAGACGCACCCGTTAATGTTGTTTGCTAAATATAAAGCTTTTAAAAGCTTAGAGCTTCACCTAAAACTGTTTGTTTTAAGGGCGAATCATCAGGTGGAGGCATCATGCTCAAAGTATTTCAGATCCATCCCCCCTCCTCCATATTAAGAAAAAGGTTAGGGCCATTTATTAGAACACCCCCTATAGTTTCATGGATTTATTTAAACCTATCCTGTGGTCTTTATTTTACTAAAATGCCCCTACAATGTGCAATCTATCATCTATACTGAATGAAAAATGTTTGACCAAATAGAGTCAAATAGAGTAATTGTTCATATTTTACTAAGGGCAAAAATGATATTTTTTATTCGAATGGACATTAGGATTTGAACTGTCATTTTTCACTTATCATCTAATGAAAGATCTATTAAGTAAATCGATTGCAAAGGCATTTTAGTAAAATGCAAACCAGTATTAGTAAATGACCCAAAGGGTTATTGTTAATTGACCTTGTAGGCCAATTGGAATCTTCTCCTTACAGAGCGTGCCTCACACTGACCTTTACAGTCACAACTCACCATGCATTAAGAATATCTCCCATGAATAATAACATATAATTATGGAGATATTCCCGATACATGATGGGATGTGCCTGTAAAGTTGGTATGAGATGCACTCTGTGAGGAGCAGATCCGATCTCCTTAAAGGCATGGTCTTGTTAAAGCTCCGAGTATAGGGGAGCGATTGATAATACTGGAATTCAATTCGGCAGAGCTGTTGGTTTTTATCAAAGCAATCCCGATGTCAGTCCAAACGATGGAAGGCCGGTTTCAAAACATATACTTCCAGATCAGTTGGTTAGGCTTTCAGCAAACTCGGTGTGAACTATGCGATTGAATCCGGGTCGCGTCAGATGCAATGCTAAAGGTTCTCCTTGACTAATGGAGGATTTAGTAGCTAGTGATAAGCTGTAAGTCTTATTCTCTAATGCTTCATCTTATCTAACCAAGTAAATATCAGACAGAGACACCTGAAACATGTGTTTACCACATATTCGATGAAAGTACGAAACCAGGAAAAGTGACAGCTTATCCAAATATTTGACATTGATCATTGTTTAATATAGGGTTTTAAGGAGAAAATATGTCTTGGTCAAACCAGTTGTCATCTCTCGTCTGAGTTTTTTCATTACTATATTTTGATTTCTGCTTCCATTTGAGATTCGCGGTTCTTAATGATCTTGGACCGGCCAGCTTGTGGATCACAATTTTTTGAAGAGTCAAAAGTGGGGCCCTCCACATATCTCTCACTTACTGAAAATCCAAATTGAAATCACCTGGCTCCGTCACTGGCCACATATTTCCTGCCGCGTAGACGACCTTTTCCTCTTTCCAGCTTATCCAAATCTAGAAACACCATTGATCCAGGCTATTTGAAACGTGGAAAACCTAGTGAGAGATGCTGAGTCATCTTAAACAGCGCCCGTAAAAGTTGGATAAGTCACCAAAGAAAATTTGAGACGCTGCTTTCCAACGAGGGCTACGTTTGATAGATTTGAGAGAATCTCCTAGATTCACTTGCAAAAAATTTCGGTCCCTACGCAGTGGAGAACACTTGTCAAGAGAAAAAAAAGTTCAGGGATTGAGACTGTTGATAGCAAATAAGTGATTGAGACTCGGGTGGACTGGAATAGTTTTTGAGCCGTTGCCGTTGCTTCGGAAAAAATGGCGCCACATCAGTGCCACATTGGAAAAAATGGTGGTTCAGAAATGGGCATTTGTTTGAAACCATTTTTTCATAAAAAAAAAGATGCTCTAAACTATGCTTTAGAAATTAGGAAGGTATGGTTTAGAGTAACGTTAAATTTGGCATTTCCTAGAGCTGTAGTTCGTTGTTGCCAACAGGGCAGTGATGTGGCACTGAATAATGGGTACTAAATAAAAAAAAATTGTTGTTGTTCCAGAAAACGTCCTACTTGATAACAAAAAATTGACACCATATGAGAAAACAGTGCTTCCAATCCACACATCAGAAAACAGTGCTGCATCTGCAGCATTGATGCCAAACATATAGTATGAAGAGATGTACAAGATATCCATTTTATTGGATCTGGATTGGCTTTATTGCATATGTAAAAGGATTAGGTCCATCTCAAGTAGCATTTTAGGCTGTGTTTGATTGCAATGCAAATAAATTTGCATTGATGCGAAACTGTGGCAGTGTAAATGATTTCAGTGTAAATTCTGATTTATTTTCGTTTCAAATTTTAGTTTATTTTGTTTGATTGCATTACAAATGAAATAAATTAAGACATGAAGCAGAATAAAGTAAAACCCAAAACAAAATTAAATGAGAATTTGCATTTTTTTATTTGCACTCCCATGCATTCGTACTAATGCAAATAAAATTACGCTGCAACCAAACACAGCCTTAGGGTTCGTTGGTTTGTAGTTGGAATCCGAATTGGAATGGCCTATTTCCATATTCTGTTTGATTCAGACAACAATTAAAATAAACTTGAATGAGATTTCATTCCCAAAGAAAGGGGAGGTAATGGTCATTCCCTCAAATGGGGGAATGTCATTACAACATCAATGGGAATGAGAGACTCTGATTCTACTCAACCAAACAGTTGAAATCAGAATTATTCATTCCAATTTAGATTCTAGCCCCCTATTCTTGCAAGCCAAATATGCCCTTACTCTTTGTGACTCTCTTAAATCTATTTTTTCTATTTTTTTTCCATTTTTTAAAATAAAAATAACCAAAAGACTTTAGAAACTCAATTGTTGTTATGGTAAAAGACTTTGTGAATTCAGTGCTCTATTTATTGTATTAGAAAATTTGTTTAATATGAGAAGTTAAATACACAAATTAATATGGCATAAAGCAGGTAAACCCAAGGTTTAAAATATCGATATGCCCGATACGCCGGTAGGGGCGTATCAGGTGTTTCGATACTTGTTTTTTATTTTTTTTTTAAAACTGGTTCAGCGGAGCTGGTTTAGGACCTCTCCATCCCCTGAACCAGTCAGACCCCCGATACACCCACTGTATGGGTGTATCGGAAGGGTCTCGAAACGATACGTATCAACCGATACGTAACGATACTTTGAACTTTGGGTAAACCTATGATATTGGAAAGGTTTCTACACACTCATCATCTAAAGCAGGAAAAAAAGTGAGGTGAGGTCAAAAGGATTATTGTTAATAATGGTAGAAATGACTAAAAATACAAAAATACAAAGAAAAATGGATTTAATATCTAACCCATTACACATTAACCGAGTCAAACGTTTCAATGGTCCAACTGGATGGATCAGCTATTGGTGTATGTTTTGAAAATGACAATTTCTTTTCGAACCACACAATGCAAAGGGACTGTTCTGTTTATGGCTCATTTTTTGAACCATGATACGTGAACATTGATTGTACGGGTTATGTATATATTTTAATAATTTACTTTCGATTATATGTTTATCATTAAATAGAGACATTATGATTAGAACAATGTTTGTGTGAGACACACCATATAACTGTTATATCATGCTTAAATAGGTGAACCACCAAATACACCATAAGCCAATGTTTTTAGTTAGGTGACGGGTTTTCTAATCATACACGTTGGTTTAACAATGGGTTGAAAAATATTTATACTTGCTAATATTTTAGTTATAAAGACAATAGATTAAAAGTGGATTGATTTATGATTCTACTTGACGGTCAGAAGTTTTTCGGATATCATATATTTTTTATATCATAATTGAATGCATCTACTTTTTATTAGTTATAAATCAATCCACTTTTTTAAGACTAAATCAGCCCCCCACAAGATTGCCCTCCATAACGTCCCACATGACATCTCCGTCGTGTATTAAGAATATCTTCTGATGATGATATCATCATTTCTAAGATTATCATTGAAAGATATTCCCAATACATGACGGGAATGTACTGTGGGACGTTGTGGGGAGTTGATTTGAACTCCACTTTTTTTAGTTATAAATGATCCACTTTTTTAGTCATAAATCAATCCTTTTTTTTTTATATTCAAGGTTATAAATCAATCCCCATATTGGGCATATTGTATCATATCGGCAAGGTTCTCATACATCTATCTAAAGGTATTTTTAGGAATTGATTTATTTTATTTATTAAATAATATAAAAATCATTATAAAAATAAAAATTTGAAAAAAAAACTAAAAAAAGTGCATTATATAAAGCACAGATGTACCTATGATGATACAGATGTATCAATACATTGAGCCATGTTTATTTAGATTTAACCCATAAAAATGCATTTTTGAGATAAAAGAATTGGATTTGGATTGAGTTTTATATTTGAATGGACTAGATATGGATCTGCTTATGGATCCACTCAAATCTGAATCTAGATTATAGTATCTATAAATCCTCTAAAAATTGTAATTTTTTTAAAAAATTTTTGAAACAATAAAAAACATCATGTGACAAATCTATGCATGACACGTGTCACTTAGATAGATAACAAGGTAAACCTAAGTCCCAATAAAAAAATAACATGACTGCATTTATGATGGCAACATGTCACCAAGGGAGAGCAACCCTTTGAATGTAATAAGTGAAGGAGTAGTAGGTTTGATGGCTGATGGTGGGGGAATGTTGTGTATTGCTTGAAAAGTGAGGAAGCATGGATAGAATGTGTGAAAAAGCCATAAATTTGTGATGCATGCCAACTGTTGCTTAGGCAATCTTGATCCTTCTCACCCACCCTTATGAGTTTTGTCCACTTCATTGTGCTGAAAGAGACTCCTGATCAGCTTTACTGCTTTATTATGATGTTAGAACGGTGGAACACCCATCATCTTCTTATTGGGCTTTCAACTTTCACAGACTTCAAACCTTTTCCTTCTGGGCAAAAGGATCGGTTGCTGCGACTGAGATTTTTTTAAGGCTGTGTTTGGTTTGAAAGAAAAGGATTTAGTCAATTGAGGAAGAGGTTCCTTTTCCTTTTTCTTTTACACCAAATACAGCTTTAAGATAAAATTGCAATTGGAATCCCTAACTCCTCATTATCATATAATGTATCCCACCAAACTTTTTGATATTTATTAGGTGTTGTTTGCAATTCTTTTTGGAAAAATCTTGTGACAGTCTAGAAGGCCAAAAGATTATTTAGTTTTGGTTTTTTTTTTTAAAGATCAAAATTGTTTGATAAGTGGTTTGGTCTATTGGGCAATTTCAGTCTTTTCGACCCTTTTTGGGCATGCACTTTTCCCACTTTTTTGGCTTTAGGTTATCAAATGCAAGATGGAAATTTAGGCTGTGTTTGGTTGCAATGTTAACAAATTTGTATTGATGCAAAACTATAGAAGTGCAAATGATATGAGTGTAAATTGTGACCTATTTTTCTTTCAAATTTTAGCTTATTTTGTTTGATTACAATACACATGAAATAAATTAAGACATGAAGCAAAATAAAATAAAACCCAAAACAAAATTAAACCAGAATTTGCATTTGGTTTTTTCATTTGCACTCCCATGCATTTGTGCTAGTACAAATAAAATTACACTGCAACCAAACACAGCCTTAGTCTTCTGTACTTGCCAAAACCCAAAAAGCCACCTAAAATTAATAATGCTCCAAATGCCACTTAAATTTTTGCCTTTAAGCTTTGGGAAGTAGGAAACGGAAATGAATTTAAAAGTGTTTTGGGTATTTGATAACAATCTAAAAATAAAAATACTTTGAAGCCCCATAACGGCTTTAAAAGCACAAATTCTAAAATTTGTCAAAACACAACTTGATTTTTATTGATTTGAGATTTGGAAGAGAGGGGAAGGTTCTTATTTTATTTCTTAAAAATAAGCATTTTTAGGCTAATAATGATTAAATAAATCCCCCAACCACGTCAGAGGCTGTTTGTTATTCTCATGGTTTTCAAAATTGGACCGGACCAGACGGTCGGATCGGAAAAACTAGGAACCGGTCACCCGACTGGTTCCATTTTTTCCCAAACCCGCTTTTTTCCCCAAAACCGTTGATTTTGGTCAGCAAACTGCTGAACCGGCTGATTAACCGTTCGAACCGTCTAAACGGTTTTGACCGTTTTTCAAAATTTTTAATTTTTTAATTTTTTGTTAGAATGGGCCAGCCGTTTGGGTCGAACGATCGGATTGTTCGAACTGGTAACCGGACCCCTGACCGGTTCGGTTTTAAAAACCATGGTTATTCTAATAACAATTCTGCTTAGTGATAGCAGAGTTAAGTGAAAAAGCAATATTCCTAGAGTTCTTCCTTGGATTTTTTTTTTTTGCTACACACTACAGTACCCGTTATAAGATAGGATTTCAGGTACTTTATTTTAAAAAGTAAATTTCTGAAACCTCCCTTGAAGTTTTGATCGTTGTTGAAATCTCCTTTCAAGTTTGGTAATTGCAATCATCTTCTTTGAACTTTTAAACATAAATACAAGTAGATCCCTTCTGTTAGAATATTCTAAAATGAGGGATGAAATATCCAAAATACATATACAGTTACTTTTGACAAAAATGTTTATTTTCCAAATTTTCTATACATATGAATTATCATCCCAAACCCTTCCAATATGTTTTTCTGAAATTGATTTATTTTCCAAAATTTTCCTTCATATCAATCACTCAAGGCTGCATTTGGAAACAATGCAAATAAGTGTGAATGCAAATATGTAGAGCATAAATTGGTTCATATAAATTGCAAAGTTGGGTTAGTTTTGCACCGACAAATTTTCCTTCTTACCAAGCAAACTTTTAGCTGTAATGGATGCAAACATGAATTCCAATAAAACATATGTTTTTTTTTTATCAAAAACCCACTTAAATGCAACTTTACTTCTTTTTATTGATGTACTTTTACATCTTATTATCAATGTAAATATGCATTGGTCTGTCATTTGTCAATGCATAAATGTAATGTTGCCAAATACAGGCAAAAGTGGACCAAAGTGCATATTTACTAGACTGGGATTTACACTCCATTTGTATCATTAGCCTAAAGATAAAGTTGCAACTTTAAATTCTCTTTTTTTTGTTGTTCATAAAGTTTGTCTTATTTTTTCAATAGAAACCAACCTCAATAATAATGGCACAGGTATTTTGGACATTTTTGTGACTCTTGTTAAAGGATTTTAACAGATGAATAATCTATGATGCAAGAAGGATATTGTACTAAAAATCTTTGACCAATTAAAACTCACCTATGAATTTTGATAAATACCATTTAATTGATTATTATATTAATGATACCAGTTGATTGATTATAATTTTTGTTAGATATAAATTTTAGGGTGTATGATTGCAATTACGAAACTTCAACAACAATAAAAAATTTGAAGAAATGTTTAAAATTTATAAAATAAGATAGGACAAATTTACCATTTTTTAACATTAGCTTTATACGAGTAAAAAAGTCGAATGGTTACATTTACCTGCATAAGACTTTTCCATGTGGATCGGCCATCCTCAACTTTAAAAAAGCAGGAGCATCAATATCAATTTGTAACAAAAAAAAAAAAAAGGAGAAAACAACATTCTTTCTAACTTTGTTCCCTCGACAGTCGAGGCCAAATCCAATTGTCCTGAAACGAAATGAATGCATCAAATTGAGTCCGGATCTACTGCATTTGTCGTCCACTTCCATTTAATCTGTCCTGGGACAGGTGTTTTGTTAAAAATTAATTCACAAAATATATTTGTATCTTGCCACGTGGCCTATCATGACCCTCTTTCCAAACCCGGCCTGTCGCAAGGAGAACTCCGCAACTCCTCCGCAGTAGTCAGCGGTTGGGTGACCTTGGTCTCTTCTCATTTTTACTATAAATCTCCGAACACATCGCAAAGGAGGATCTCTAGATCCTAAGCCGTCAGTGTCGATCGAATATGCCCGAATTTTAGGCGTTTAAATCTACCTCCGCCACCTCCGCATTAACAGACTCACTCACTGCTTTCGTCGAACGGGAAAGCGGACAAGCACATTTGATGATTTGAACTTGTTCTTTGTCTTACTTGTATAAGAAGAAGAACTCTCCACTTAGCCAGAGAATTTCAGTGAAGCTCAAGGGGTTGTGCAGACGTACATACTAGGGTTTCCTTGTTCTCCTTCTCTTTCCGCTCTATGCTACTTCTGTAAATAATGGCAGCCAGTTCCAGAGGCTTTGCTGCTCCATTTGATCTTAAGCTTAGAGGGTTTGACATTTCCCCTCCTCTGCATCATCAAGGATTGGATTTCCGCAAGAAGAAGGGGGAACGCAGCGGTGGTGGTGGCGAGGGACACTGGTTTTGTCGAATCGACTGCTCTTGTTCCGACTCCGTCACTCCGATGCGAACCAAGTCCGGGTCGGGTAAGGGCGTCGACAATGCTGAGGAATGGCGGTACGAACGCAAGAATTCCCCTCTTAGAGTCCGTGTCCAAGCAATGCCTGCATTGCCCTTTGCCTCGCCCCGGTAACACTCTCATCTTTTGTGCTCATTAATATTCCATTTCCTTATAATGGATTTTGGTGTTCCTACGTTGAATTCATGAAGGTCTCTCTAACCCATTAGGTAGTTATTCATATAAACAAATTGGCGGAGCATAACTTAATCAAAGAAAGCAATTCCAAGCGAGAATTTTTTTCTTAAAGCTTCTTTGCCTATTAAGGTTGTGCTTGTGATTGCGAGTACATATTAAAGTCTTTTTTGGGAGTAATAGTTATTCATATCTGCAAAACGACTCAACTTTGAAACGAGGGAACAATACACCTGTATGTCTTTTTTGCGAGTACATATTAAAGTCTTCGAGGAGGAAATTTACAAAGCTGGAAATCTGGTTGACATACTTGTTTGTGGACTTACCAGGCTTCACGTTCTCGTACTATGGGGACAATACACCTGTAAATGCGGTCTTCAGCAAGAAACTCCTAACTTGTTTTTCTCATTGGGTTCAAAGAAAACCACTCATTTCACTAGCTTAGTTGAGGCACCCAAGTATCGAATATCGATGATATTTGTCCTTAATGGTTTTGGAGATCAAAGTTGTCAACTCATGTTTTTCATTTCTTAATCTCTACCATCACATAGTTTTCACTTGCTCCTTCCCTTTTATTGGTCTTCAGAACCTAGGCCTATAATTAGAGTATAAGGAGATGTGCATACTATTACTTGATTTATACCTATTTCATTCAACTTTTCTTGTTTCTTGAACTAGTTCAAGTCACTAACACCTCTGATCAAGTACAAAGTTATATCCGGTTCCATGTTTGGAACATGTTTCAAAATTTCTCATTTTGCTGTAAGTTTCCACTTTCCATTACTTCAGAAGGCGTGGTGTTTCCAAACTAGAAGAATTCTATCCTCGGTGTAGCCCAAGAAATTCTGCTCCACAATCTCGTGATACTCCACCTAAAAGAGGTAAGTTACAACATCCAACCATCCAGTTGCTAAGACTGTGTAAATCTATTAAACTATTCTAAGGATATATGTTGAATTACACTTTAATTAAAATTCATTATTCTTATATGATTCCTGTAAACGCATGTATGCATGCTACACTTCCTTTATTGCAGACACTGGCATTGCTAATGAGGAGGATTGGGGCATCAACTTGTTGAATGAAAACATCAATGAATCTGGTACTAATGAAGATGGGAGTACTTGGTATCGGGAAAGTGGAGAGGACCTTGGAGAAAATGGATACAGATGCCGTTGGACAAGGATGGGTGGTCAAAGTCATGATGGTTCCTCACAATGGAAAGAGACCGTATGTTGTTGCTTTCTCATAAATTTGTCTTCTCAAAGTAGAGAAGTACTACTTGATACTTATTAGGGAGAGAATGCAAGCTGATTGGAAAAGATAAATTAAAATGACTGAATCTGATGGATGATCTTTGTACTTTTAATACTTTGACTTCATGAGATTTTGTTTACACATTGATGCCAACACACTCTATGATACCTGGATATCTATACATGACTAACATACTGTCTACCTACTGTACTAGTGTCAGGCACAATATGTGCCCAATATGACGCTGGGTATTGCATGGACATTTTTTGATATATCCATCAAATTAACACTTCCAAAATATGTAAAGTTGTAGGTTTTGACAAACCCTATAGATGTTAGAAGTTTAATTAAATTTGGCAAGTCATATTTTCTAAAAAAATGATACTTAGCTTCAAAAACTAGATATATAGGTATGAATTATGCATATTATGTGGGATATTTATAGTCTTATACCCATATCCCTGCCTAGGATTTTAGGAAATGGAGATCGTATCCTTGTTTCCTGTGTTGGTACCTGCATCTGGTTATCATAGAAGGCATTATATATTTGATTTTCCAATTCCACTTAGCTTAATTAATTTGGAACTCACTAGTTGTTATGTCTATGTCTTATACATAGATGCTTAGAAAGAACAGCACCAAGTGATCAGAGAGAAAATCATCAGTCTATATTCTTTTCTAATTGACATTATGGCATCAAAGAAATATTTGGAGGATGTCTATTCTTGGTAATATTTGGACACCATGCAGGAAGAGGTTATAGAAAAATTGAGTAAAATATTCTTTACAAAAAGGCTAGAGTTTGTCATTCGTTATTAAATCAATAATATACAAGTTTTTCTGTTTATCCTCTTTATCTTTTTCTTTTTTTGAAATTTTGCCTACCATTTTTATCTTTTTTTTGTTTTGTATTTAAGAGCAAAAAGGAAATGTTTTCTTTTTCATATATTTTTGTTGTTGGAATCTAATATCAGAAGGGAATTTTAATGATTGAAGGTGTGAATGCAGTTACTCTGTCAGAATAGCCTAATGCCTTTTAAATGATATGTTACAACCATCTTAAGAGTTAACCTTCTGAATTTTCCATAAAGTTTCAAATTTCCAACATGAAAAAATTGTAGATTATCATCAATCACCATTTATTCATTATATATATCTACTAGTTAATTTTTCATGATACTCCAATTGTGCTACTGTGATGATTTTTTAACTTCAATAAGTACGATCCCAGGTGGATGTATTTGATTGATTTTCTTGATCTCCTTGACAGTGGTGGGAGAAGAGTGACTGGACTGGATACAAGGAGCTAGGTATACATGTTATTAAACTTATCTTTTAATAAAATATTCTGGTGATTGGTGAATACTCTTGGATTGTAGGAATTATTGCAGTCTCTTTACAACATAGCTTTATGGTTATGTGTTTCTAGCAACTCTCTTGTTGGATGGATGAGTGGCATGTCTCTAGCAACTATACTTGAATAGTTAATGAAAAGTCACTTGTATTGCAGAACTTATTTTTCAGGATCAAGTATTAATTTTGTGGATCTTTAGTATAACAAATAGTTGAGTTATTCTCCTTCCATGCGTTGTTGTCAAGGTAATGCCTAGACACTCTTGTTGGATGGATGAGTCATGAGTGGCATGTCTCTAGCAACTATCCTTGAATAGTTAATGAAAAGTCACTTGTATTGCAGAACTTATTTTTTCAGGATCAAGTATTAATTTTGGGGATCTTTAGCATAACAAATAGTTGAGTTATTCTCTTGCCATGCATTGTTGTCAAGGTAATGCCTAGGGATAAGGTGTCTTTTTGGGATCCACTTTGTACCCTACTGATGTAGGAAAAAAGGGAGAAAAATCCTACTAAGGTGAATATGGTGGGAAGAAGAGGGAAAGAATGTTAACGATAAGAGAAAGATTCGGATCTAAATAGAGAAGAAACATCACAGCTTTAGAAGAAAACAGGGAGAAAATAGAGAGAAAGATCACACATGTTCCCATACCATAGATAACTTCAAACAAACTTTTTATTCCATTAAATAAACTATAAAATTCCAGTTATAATGGTTCTATCTATGACTAAGAATAAGGGCTTGGATCTCCTTTTACAAACTCCAATTGCAACTAGAAAACTGACCCAAAATAAATTCTAACTGCTTCAAAAACCAAGGCAACCCTATAGGTAAGCACATAGGGATGCTCCAATAAAGGCTCTTGGCTCAAAACTCCTAAAGTAACTCCAAATACCCATTACTAATCTTACCCTACTGCCAAGATACTAACAAACTAGAAAATAACTTTGAAAAAACTCAAAAAATAAAGACCAAAATCCAAATTTCCCATGAATTGTGAAATTGCAATTTGTTAAAGAATATGAAAATTTTGGTTTCTTCTTCTACAGATTTTTTTCCTTGCTGCCATGGCTGTATCATTCTCCCCCCTGTAAAGAAAGCTTGTCCTTTGAGTTGAAGTGATGAAGACTCAACAACTGAAGTGAACAACAAACAGAAACCTGTCACTCGTAGTTGCAAATAGGAGAGATTCAGGGGCAATTTTTCAAGTCTTTTTGGGAAGATCTTTTGGTAGCTCTGACAGTCAAAAGACGCATTGAGCTTTTGCATTAAGATCTGAGCAGCCTGAAGCCCGTTTGGTTAAGGTGTATCTTTCTGCACAAAGATGAATAGAAAAAAACGCAAAAGCTCCATTTAGAACTTCCCGAAAATCGCCCATTTTGGGCTTCTCACGTCTTTTCGGCGCGTTGGCTTTTGGCGGCTAGATCTACCGTGAACCAAACGGGAAAGACCGAATTGTGGTCTGCCGGGCTTGTAAATAGCCGACTGACCGCACGGAAAGACATCTGTAAAAAATTTCTTGATCTAGATGTAGAAGTGGCTCTTCAATTGGCTTGTCAATCAGCAATAGATCAAATATGGCTTTTACCTTCGTATTTTTATATGGGTTGTGTAGCAATTTTTGGTATAGCACAAGTAAACCTTATCATTTATAAAAATAAAAACCAGAGGGGTAAAAAGGCATCATAAAATACCAGCTTTCAATTCAAAGAGCTATAAAATGGATTTGAGGCAAGACGACAAAGACCATCACCAAGACAGTGATAGAAGTGAAATATGTTCTGTTTATTATGGTTTTAATAAGTTGGCTTCTGTATGATATTATTTGCTAAACAAACCATAATAAATAAAGCATTATTATGATTCTGTTAATCTTGAAGACATTAAATATGAGACAAGCTTACTCAAAAGTCCTAGAAAACAAGCTATACTTAACAAAGTTCTTTTTATAAAAATAATTGCCTCAGGCAGATGCCTTGTTGCATAGGTGACAAAGTGAATCCCTACTGGAAAAATAATGCGTATCTCGCTCAGGTTCTGTTGCATAGGTGACAAAGTTCTTTTTATAAAAATAATTGCCCCAGGTTGATGAGTAACATCATATTCCTTGTATATCCAGGTTTCTGGATAGTGCCTGCCTAACCCTCCCATGAAATAAATAAATAAACAAACAAGTACAACAAAGATGATGGTTTTCAAGGTTCAAAGTATTGATAGACCTGATATGCACAGACATGCATACTGATTGTTTTGATACTATAGAAAACTCTCTTTTTACTCCCATATTTTCACAGGGGGTCAATATTATTGTTAATTAACATTTAAAACATCACATTTTGGAAAAGCCTTAAAATAGGTATATCCATGACCTGCCAATATGTGATACAATATGCCCAATACAGGGCATATCATATTGAAATTTTGAACCTTGATGCTTTTGAATACTTGATTGGAAGTACAGACATTGTTAAGCCTTAGTTTTTTCTTTTTATTTTCTGGTGTAAATTGCTACAATCCCTTGCTTGAAAATTTATTTCATTGTTAGTTTGTTACTTTTCCAATGTCTTATATGTACCATGTTCTAGTGCATGATCTCAGCTAGATCTTTGGAATGACTTTACCTGTTGGCAAGGATTCTTGACATAAAGGATAACCAATGCAATTCTTTCTGCTATCTTCAAGATTTTAACTTTGAATCCCAGTTAGATTCTTTTTATCTGTACTAATGAAAGCTTGTTCCAAGAGCTGATGTTGGCATGATCTATGAATACTAGGTGTTTAGCATACATGACAAAATGAAATATTTACCGAGTCTTTGGCTTAATTAAAATTATGCTGCATTTCAAGGATAGTGATTAGGGTGAAGGAACAAAGCTCTTTCTCCCGTGGACTTTGTGTGTTAGTTAAAAAACTGTCCACTGCAGGGATTTTTAAGTTCATTTTCTTGAATCCCATCCTTTTATTTCCATGTGGTGTGATAATGTGGTTAATCTACATGGCTATAAGGGGGCTTTCTGGATTGACCATGTATGAAGTGACATATTCATGTCATACCTGTAGCCTACAATTTCTTTCCATTTTCCTGCCAAATAACAGCAGCTGATGTCCTGATGCTTTGTTTATACAAAAGAAGGGTGAAAAAGGGCTCTTATCTCCTCTTGTGGGCAGGGTTTTATTAGGCCAAAAATTTCCACATTTGTAGAGTGAGCTGACAAACATGTGAGGGCTTTCTAGACCACCACATAAGTGTCCACTTATGAGATACTTGGCCATGGTACATCCTTTACTACATGAACCATGTAGAAACCTTTCCCTTCTTTTATTATTACATGGAAAGATGTCTTCTCATGTATATTGGTCACTCTAAGGTATTCCTCATTTCATTATTTATTGATCTTTCCATAGGAGTGGAGAAATCTGGAAAAAATGCTGAAGGAGATTCATGGTGGGAGACATGGCAAGAAGTTCTTTATCAAGATGAATGGAGGTATCTTAGAGAACCTATTTGCTTCATGGTTATGCTTACGAGTGACTGGTATCATTGCACTGATATGTTTACTTTGATCAATTTTATGATTTCTTAGTGTATCATTGCAATTGCCAGATATGATTACAATCTTTGTTACCAGGATACATCAAGGATATGGCTTGATATGGTACTGGATATAAAATTTTCACAAGTAGTACCCAACATGCCAAGGCACCCTTGTACAGTTATCTGGGTGTCATAGATTACAAAATGCTTCAGTTAGGTGGTTGACAGTGTTGGGGATGCATAATTTCTCTTGTTTTATATTGCATAGTGCGTTTTGTGACCGACCAACTTTCTATCTGTGTGCTTTGCATAATTTTTTTCTGTATTAATATCCTTTCTTTTATAAGAAACCAATACTAAATCAAATGATTATAGAACTTTCTTAGGTATGGAAACATGTATATGGAAATTGGTATAGTATCAAAAAGACTAGTATTAACAAATCCAATATACCATCATGTCCTTGCAGTTTGTTTAATATATTATGATATGTTTCCCCAATAGTCTAACTAATGCAAGATAGAGGTAAGCAATTAGATATTGTAGAAGAAATATTTAGTACTCTATGTCAATAAAAAAAGGGCAGCCCAGTGCACGAGGCTCCTACAAATGTGGGGTCTGGAGAATGACAGATGTACCCCACATTGGCAGGAGCCTTGTGCACTGGGCTGATATTTCTTCTACAATATCTAAATAGTTACTGAAAATGGCAGAATAAGTTTTATTGTAATAAATTTATTGGCAGGTATTTGACATGTGAAGACAATGCAGTGTCGGATGGGATCAGATTCCAAAATGGACTTGATCATTGTTTTGTAGTTGAAAAGATTTGATACTAATGAATAGAACCTTGCTAATAAATTTCTTTTTTTCTTAAGTATTTGACATATTGGAGTCTTTGCATTGTTATGGATTATATCTTTTCATCTTTCTGAAACAAAATCCTTGTGACACTTAATCTGCAGTAACCTGGCAAGGATAGAGAGGAGTGCACAGAAACAAGCAAAATCCAGCACTGGAAATGCTGGATGGTATGAGAAATGGTGAGAAAATGTTTCCATGAGCTTTAATCATATTTTATTCTCATTTCTGGGCACAACCATTTGCTTAATTTCTTTTCCAACATATATATTCTTTCTTCTAGGTGGGAAAAGTATGATGCAAAAGGTTGGACAGAGAAGGGAGCACACAAATATGGTAGACTGAATGAGCAATCCTGGTGGGAGAAGTGGGGGGAGCACTATGACGGAAGAGGATCTGTCCTGAAATGGTTGTTCGAAACTTCTTTCTTACTAATAAACTTAATATGTCTTGTGAAATGCTGTTTACTGATCTAATGGAATAATCATCTTAAATTTAACTGAAGCTATTTCTGAATTCTGCAAATTTTCTCTTTAAGGAAACTCTATCAACTAATAATCATACATAGGAAATCCCAGAATTAATATGATTAGGAAGATGAAAGAGAACTGTGGTGGCTAGTATGCTAGGGGATAGTGGTGACTGGTGAGGACAGTTCTCCATCAAGGTTGACATTGAGCTACTTGCTAAGTCAGTTATGATAGTGTCTTAATTTGATGATATCTTATTTAAAGGACCAGCAAGGTGCAGGAGCTTTGCATAAGCATTTCAACAGCATCATCCTTTCAGCATATACAGATCCTATAGAATGGTTAAAGTTCACATACTTGAATATGAAGATTCTTACAAGTTAGAACTGTTTAAGCAGTCATAGATTTGTTGCAGTGGATAAGCATGATATTTATCAGCAATAGAAACAACTTTAGGTATTTTAATTTGTTATTTTAGTTGTTACTTCAAAGTTAAATTCTTTATTTTGGCATAGTTCTTGTGTTCTACTTTTAGTTATTCTCATAGTGCAACATATGAATATAAATGACAATTAGTTTAGGGAAGATTTGGTTATAGAAAGTAATATCAGTTGTAATGGGACGTTGGTATAGGTTCAGAAAGTTTCGTCAGTGAATACAAGAAGAAAAGTTTATCTGCATTTGATGATAATACCAAGAAATATGTTTGATCAGTCATGGATGTGAGTTAGCCAATGAGAATATTCCAAATCTACATGCTTATGTTGGAATAACTGTCTTGAGAGAGTTAAACTACTACTTTATGTCAAACTCCATGGATATCCATCCATATGATGGTACAACTTGCTTGTGAACTGTCTACATTATGATGCTTAATCTTGCCCCAACAGACAATAGGATTCACATTGAGGTTCTTTTGTACTTTCAGGACGGATAAATGGGCAGAGACTGAACTTGGAACAAAATGGGGAGATAAATGGGAAGAGAAATTTTTTGCAGGCATAGGTTCACGTCAAGGGGAAACATGGCATGTGTCACCAGCTGGTCATCGTATGTCTTCCTGCAACTCTGCTTTCACTTATTCATATTTTCATATTGTAGATTGTAATTATACACAATGATTCTTTAGAGGCTTAAGAAATTCTAACAGTGAATCTTTCTCTTTTTCTTTCTTTGATTGAAATAATCAAGAGCTTCAACAGGAAAAACATGGGGGTGGCTGTACGGTTAAGCTTCAGTCTTCTAAAAATTACTTTTCTCATTTAAAGCTGAAATTACTATCTATAGTAACTTTTAGACTACTTGTGGAAATTTCCATAACTGTTATTTATGGTAAAATTGTGATTCATTATTTTTAGTGATTTTGATTTCTTTATATGAAGTTAGCTGTTATTAGTTGCTTTAAAGAGTTTATTGAGGTTATAATTTCTTGGTGATTAGGTATTTGTGTTTGTCAAGGAAATCTAAAGGAAGGTAGGTTCTGGAACCCGGTGGTGGAAAAATTCGAAAAAAGATTGGTAGCTTGGAAGAGAAACTATATTTCCGTGGGTGGTAGAGTTACTCTGATTAAAGCAACTTTAGCCAACTTGCCATTATTTATTTTGTCAGTATTTAGAATTCCTAAAAGGGAGGCAAAGGGGTTGGAAAAACTGATGAGGGACTTCTTATGGGAACCTGGAGAAGAGAAAAAATATCACTTGATTAGGTGGGAGGTGGTGAGTCGAAGTAAAAAAGGAGGCCTAGGCTTAGGGAATGTGGTGAGTAAGAATGAGGCTCTTTTAGGCAAGTGGCTTTGGAGGTGGCCCTTGGAGAGGGAGAGGTTGTGGCATTAAGTAGTGAAAAGTATCCATGGCTGTTCTAAATTAGGTTGGGATGCGGGGGTATCTCGAAGGGATTTGCTCACAACACCTTGGAAGGCGATCTCTGGCATTCTCCCTAAATTCCTCAGTTTTGTAAGATACAATGCTTGTTCTGGAAACTCCATTCTTTTTGGGAAGATACTTGGGTGAGCACTCAACCCCTAAAAGACCGTTTCCCTTCTCTCTATTCCATCACCCTCTTTAAAAAGAAACCCATTTCTTGGTTCCTTTCCCCCTCGGTTTGCCCTTTGGCTTTAAACTGGGATTTCGGGTTTCAAAGAGGGTTAAGGGATGAAGAATTTCATTGTGTGTCAGAGCTATTGTTGTTTCTAGAGTCAGTGTGTTTGGACCCCATTAACCCGGATAAAAGAGTCTGGGCCCTAACCTCGGTTGGCTCCTTGTGCATCTTTCTTCCAAGCCCTTTGCTCTAACCCTTCATTTCAAGTCTTCCCTGATAAAGAGGTTTGGCCAAGGCCAATACCCCCCAAAATAGCAGTGTCTTGTTGGGGAAGCCTATTATGGTAAGATCAATACTATGGAAAACTTGCAAAGAAGAAACCTTTTATGTGTCTGTCCCCAAATTGGTGCTTTATGTGTAAAGTGAAGGGTGAGGACTGTAACCATTTGCTGATATCGTGCTCCTTTGCTGCCAATATTTGGAATTGGGTTGTTTCCTTATTTGGGTGTTGGAACTTGCCCTCTGAAGTAAAGTTGCTGTTCATTCTGGCTGCTGTTGGGAGATTGACAAAAAGAGGGAAGTTAATATGAAAATGTATCAGAGCCGCTACTTTGTGGTTTTTATGGGAAGAGAGAAATGCTAGAATTTTTCAAGAAAAGGAAATAAGTATTGCTGAAATCAAGGAATGCATATTGACATGGACAATCTCATGGTTGAAATCTTCACAATTGTTGGCAGACTTCTCCTTTGATGGCTTAAGGAGAAACTGGGAAGTAGTGGCTTCTACAGTATCCACTAAGAACAAGTCACAAGTGGATTGGAAACCCCCATTGGATGGAGTGGTAAAGTTGAATTTTGATGGCAGCTGCCAAGGTAACCCAGGGCCATTTGGAATTGGTGGGATTCTGAGAGACAAAGACAGCATGTCTCTTTTTTCAGGACCAGTGGGTGAAGGCGATTCTGTAAGGGCAGAGTTACTAGCAGCGGTACAAGGTATACAGATGGCTAGTCAAATTGGAGTGAACAATTTGTTAGTAAAAGGGGATTCCAAGGTAGTAGTGGGCTGGCTGAATAGCCCAGATACAGCTTGCTGGGGCTATAGGGACCTGCTAAAGAAAGTTAAATGGATGACAAGAAATATGACTGTCAGATTTCAGTGGGTCAGCAGATCAGCAAATGCAATGGCTGATTCTCTGGCCAAGCAAGGGGTGTCAAGGGGAGATCTGTTTTGGGCTACTTTGTAATTTGTGTTTCAGGCTTGGACTTGTTTAGTGTATATGATTCAGTCCTTGGGGGAGGTAACATCTCGTGCCTCTTCCTAGGCTGATTGTATTTTCTTATTTGAATTAATAAAACTTCTCACTTATCAAAAAAAAAAAAAAAAAGAAAGCCTAGGCCTAGCCTACCTAGAGCTTTCTAAACATATTATACTCGAGATGGAATAGAAAGTTTGTTTTAAAGTTACTGTCTGATAGGAGTGTGATTTCTTATTTTTCTTTCTTTCCCTATCTTTTCTTCTAAAGGTGCAATATTTCTTCCCTTTATTCTTTCTCTTTTATAGTCAACTTAATTCCTTTATCATTACTTTAGATACTTCTTTACCCACCCTGTTCATGTCAGTATGACATCCTCCTTTCTATCCTACAGGCACCTAATGTTTTCATGTGCCACTAAATGTTTATACGCAGGCTCTGTATGTAATAATAAATATGTATAAGAGTATGTCCTGTTGAAGCTTTAAACAAAGCTTTATTGGTTCCTAGTGATTAACAGATATAAGTCATATTATTCTGCATTTAATGTTTCATTTGTACTCTAATTTGCCAAGATATTGATGATTCTTCATGCTTCAACAACATTTTCTTTTTGTAGTACATAATAGATACTTGACATACCGTATGATTAAACATCATTTAAATGTACTTCATTCATATCAACATCTTACTCTGTCATTTCTAGGTTGGTCAAGGACATGGGGGGAAGAGCACTTTGGAAATGGGTATGCAACTCAAAACCACATAATATGTTAGCATCTTCTGCCATTACGATTTAGATTTTGAATCAAACTGTTGCTTTTATGTCACTATGACATAAATTTCCCCAACTTTTCACATACTGTGCTAAAACATTACCTGTTCTGTGTGTTTCAGCAAAGTGCACAAGTATGGTAAAAGCACAACAGGTGAAAGCTGGGATATTGTTGTGGATGAGGAAACCTATTATGAGTAAGATTTTGCTTATAAACCTCAAAATTGAGTACTTAATTGCTAATTGAGATTTTGACTTCATTGAAAATCTTTCCACTGTAATATAGAAGCATTGAGGAAGTTCCAGAAAAGATTAGGAAGAACTTAATAATGTAATTGTCAGGATTTATAATTACAATTCAAAACTCAGAAAACTTATTCATAGACTTGATTAGTCATTGATGAAGCATAAAGTTCTGCTCCAATTAAGGTTCATAATATACGTGCATACAGACATGATGAGCTAGACAAATTTCTATATAATAACCCCATTGCTTCAGTAATGAAATTTAAAGGCATCTCAAAAATTGTTCCTATCCTGAAAGCTATGGCCATAGAATAGCTGCTCAATAGAAGTATAACACTAGACCCATCTTGTTATGGAATAACATCTACTCATTAACAATTCTTTGCAATTTTATTCTGAACATTATATAATTAATGATACCCCAGATATCATTTATTTATTCCTACCTATTTTATAAATTTATCATATTATTACTTAATTATCATTCTTTTTTATCTTAAAGTTTTAATAGATTGTTACTGTTAAGTTAAATTAAGTTCAATAACATTGATAAAAAAAATTACGTTCAACATTCTTTCAACAAGATTAATAACATAATTTGTTTTAATTTTTTAATAACATAAAGGAAGTCATATAATCTATTTGATAATTCTATTTTTCATTCATTTTAAATTACTTCTAAATGGAATTGTTCATTTCTGGTCTGCAATCAACATTCAATATTTTGGGAATATAAATGGTTTTTGGGTATTTTCTATAACTGAATCTTTTCTAGTTGATGTACACACAAGGAAACTCAAGAAATTAAAAAAAAAATGTTTTAGCTTTTTGATAATATCAATCACATATTAACAAAGTATTGGAAAAAGTTATGTTTTGGAAAGGCTCTGCATGCTCTCCCACCAAATTGTAGAGAATTTTTAGGAAACTCACCAACTTACTGTGAAATTATGATTCTTGCTTCAAATTAAATTCAGCAAGTTCATGCATGAGAACTCATAAATATAGTAGTATATGCCAAATTAGGATGGAAAAGCCTATAGACTTCAGGTTAACAAAATGTGGTTTTTTGGTTGAAGGGCTGAACCTCATTACGGATGGGCAGATGTTGTGGGCAATTCAAGCCAGTTGTTATCAATCCAACCTCGGGAGAGGCCACCTGGGGTATACCCGAATCTTGAATTTGGACCGTCTCCACCACCTCCAGCGGATGACTCACCAGATCTTCCGCCACCTCCACAATGATGATCCACTTGGTGTTTTAAATATTCTTCCAAGCAATTAAATATTTATTGAATTGCATTTTATGGGTAAAGACTTCCTTGTATCATAGTGGAACCATTGCATTCTTAATTTTTTTTTATTCTTTTATATATCAAGAAGTCCATGCTTTTACTCTGTCCTTGGTTAATTTTTGGCATTAATCACTGCCTGACACCCCCTTGGGGGTCGTTACTCTTTTAAGTGAATACATCACATTAACAGCTCTTTTCTTACAGAGATGATAATAGTGGGATTCAGAACTACACCACCGCTGGGACAATTCATCTAGTGCGCCAATTGGGCTACCTGTCAGTTGGTATTGTACTTGGGTGGATGACCAGTAAAATTAGAAGTTATAGGGTTAGAATTTAGGTTATATATACAAAGTAACTCTGGAGTAGCTCAGTGATAAAATGAGAAAGTAAGCCGAGGTTGTTTGGTCACATGCAAAGAAGACCAATTGCAGCATCCTTTAGAAGTGATTTGTTATAAGTTGAAGGGGCTAAAACCTTTAGAAGAGAAAAAGGATTTGGGTGGAACTAGTAAGAAATGATTTAGTGTCCATAGTTTAATGATGGATATAGCACTGAACAGTATGGAATGGTGAAACATGATTCATGTAGCCAACCCTATATATTTGGGATAAGGAATAATATATAGTGATATATACCTTGCTGCTGCTATATAAGGCTACATCCATGTGAAGTTGTTTCGAAGCAATGGTTCTGATCATTCTACCTGATTGGAATGGGACTGACATGATAGTTCTAATGGTTTTATTTTAGGCTACAACCATGTGAAGGAATGTAGCATTAGTTTTCTATGCAAGGTAAATCTTTTCGTCACTGGTGTAATTTCTGCAAAGAAGGATAAAGGATGCAAAATATCATTTAGGTATCCTCTTTTTTCTTTCTTTTCTCCTTCTCTTCATTTAACTTGTGGGCAAGGCAGGGAGCGGAAGCTGGTCTAGCCTGCAGAGATCCTTTGCCACCGGTAGTTCGGGCGTACAGGCCGTGTCTCCAGGGTGTGAAAATGGATTTGATCCCAAAGTTTTTGGGGAACTACGATAGGTCTTAACAAAGCTCCAGACGTGGACATATGGTACGTAATGTGGACAAAATATTACTGATACTGATGCGTTGAAGACTTGAGAAGCATGAAAAGTAGCTGGCACAATCCAAGTGCCTAAGCCCCAAGGCTTTCCCTAGTGCTTTTTTATGACTAGGCCTAAAGTTTAGGTAGATCGGCTTATAGTACTGGATGTGGATGGATTGGTTAGGTTGGATCCAGTTAGGTTCAGCGCATCCGACTAGACCTCACTTAAAATGGTTGTTTTGGTGGGTTGGTTGGAGCCAACCCGCGAGTACTGACCGCTGAGAAGATCCACTGTGCTTGGCAGTATACACACGGATTTGTAAGAGAACTTGGGCGATGAACTATGTTAGTCTCCGATTACAACTTGAGTTCACCATTTGCGTTACAATGAGAAAGAAAACATTGTAGTGGTAATGTTGCAGAAAACTCCAACGGCCCGGCAAAGCCGAAGGCACAAATTGAGCTTTCACCAAAGAATTGTCTTGAGGCTGCATATAGCTTTTATTATATCACGAGAGTCTCCACTGGTTTGGTAGTTTTTTGGGTGCAAGTATCAAAGTATCGGTATTGGATATCTATTGAACAGTTCAGATATAGATACAGATACATTTTAGAAATGCATGGATATAGATAGAAGATATTGAAACTAGTAAATTTGAATAAAGGTTTAAAACTGAGGGTGTCTCCGGGTTTGATGAGTTCATTAGAAACATCACCCCATACATTTCAGAGGATCGGAAGTCAGAACAATATGATTAGTAAGGATGTCTCAAATTTAGAGATATGGGAGGCTCTAAATTCGATGAAGGATCTTTAGGCTCTAGGTTTGGATGGTCTAAATGCCCTATTTTTCAGGAAATATTGGGACATCATTGGGGATGTTGTGTGCAATGTTGTAAAACATTCTTTCATTCAGGGAAATTAAATAGGATTTTTATAAAATCTTCATTACCTTGATTCTAAAGTCAAAGAACCCCGAAATTGTAAATAACTTCAGACCCATAAGCCTATGCCATTTATAAACAAATAAATAATAATATCCTCATTGCTCATGAAATGATGCACAGTATGAGAAATGGAAAAAAAAAATCCGGAATCATGGCTTATAAAGTTCAAATGGAGAAAGCTTAAGATAAACTTGAGAAGGAATTCATAGAAAAGTTTTCAACAAGTTTGGTTTTCACAAGAAATGGATAGAGTGGGTCATGACATGCATAAGATTTGTGTCTTATCAAATATTAATCAATGGTTCTCTAACTAGAAAATTTGAACCATTTAAAGGAATTAGACAAGGTGATCCCCTCTCCCCATATAATTTTATTTTATGTACTAAAGCACTATCTAAAAATCTTATTGAGGAAGCAAAAAAGCCCAACAATCCAATTGGCGGCAAGGCTTCAAGGGGAGGTCCTTGTATCCCAATCCTTCAGTTTTCAAATGATTGTTTGATATTCACAAAATCCTCTATCCCTACTTCTCTAAAAGATAACGAAATTTTAGAAAATTTTGCAAAAGTTTTAGGTCAGTGCCTAAACTTTAGCAAATCGGCCATGTCCTTTTCAAAAAATATCCCTCCTAAGCTTCAAAAGATTTTATCTAGAATGATGAGAATTTCTTGAGAAAAAAAACAAACTCATACCTTAAGGCCCCAATTTTAAATGGTTGAGTTTCGAAGAAAATTTTTAATGATCTTAAGCAAAGAATAAACAATAAACTGGTGGGTTGGAAAAAGAAAACCCTCTCCTTATCAGGCAGAGTTAATCACCTTAACTGAACTATCAGTTCAATACCCCATTTCATCATGAGATCATTCAAGATTCCTAATGATGCGATTAAGGACATCAAGAAAAGTCAGAAAATTTCTTGTGGTCAAAGAATAATGGTAAAAAACCATTCCATTTGATGAGTTGGGATTAAAACAAAACACTATAAACAATAATATCACATAACACAGAAATTAGTAATCTCACATTGATGATTTCGGTGAGTTCTTGGACTTAAATTTATATTGATTCTTAAGAGTACTATGTGTACAGGAGTCTTCAGTGTACAGGAGTCATCATCATATGGGTATGTACAAGATAAGAATGCGGCAAGTTAGAATAGGATAGAAATTGACAGGTGTACAGGATAGAGTCTGATAGATGTATGACTCTATCATACTCTATCATCCCCCCTCAAGTTGACAGGGGTGGAACAACAGTCAACTTGTCAAGCAGCATGCTGAATCGAGCAAGAGAGAGGGGCTTAGTGAAGATGTCGGCCACCTGATCATGACTAGAAATAAATCGAACATGGAGATCCTTTTTAGCAATCCACTCTCTCACAAAATGATAATCAATTTCAATATGCTTGGTGCGAGCATGGAAGATTGGATTTGCTGTAAGATAGTTCGCACCAAGATTATCACACCATAGGGTGGGAGAAGTAGTGGATGAAACACCCAATTCACAAAGGAGTGACTGCAACCAAATCAGTTTTGATGTAGCACAAGCAAGGCTTTTGTATTCCGATTTTGTGCTAGAGCGAGAGACTGTAGCTTGCTTAAGAGAGGACCAACAAATGAGATTGGAACCCATAAAGACACAAAAACCACCATGGGATCGTCTATCATCAGGACAACTAGCCCAGTTTGCGTCTGAAAAGGCATGGAGATCAAGAGATGTAGAAGGAGATAGCCGTAATCCAAAAAGAAGCGTAGACTTGAAATAACGTAGAATTCGCTTAACTGCTCCCTAGTGGTCAGAAGTGGGTTGATGAATGAATTGGCAAACTTTGTTGACAGAGAAGGCAATGTCAGGTCTAGTTAGAGTTAGATATTGTAAAGCACCAACGATACTACGAAAAGTAGTAGGGTCAGCAAGAGGCTCTCTAGAATGTTGGACTAGCTTGGTGGAGGAAGCCATTGGTGTGGAAATAGGTTTCACCCCATCTAGTGAAGCATGACGCAGGAGGTCAACAATGTATTGGCATTGTCATAAGATTAAACCTGTTTTGTCAGGAATGACCTCAACACCAAGGAAGAAATGTAATGGACCCAATTCTTTAACTGCAAAGGCACTGCTCATTTGATGAATGACTGTATAGCCTTAGTAGATGATCCGGTCACAATGATGTCGTCAACATATATTAAAACAAAGATGATACTGTTAGGTGAATGCCTTATGAAAAGAGATGAATCAGAGATTGACATCTTGAAACCAGCATCAAGTAAGAAGGAACTGAGCTTCTGATACCAAGCTCAAGGAGCTTGTTTTAAGCCATATAGGGACTTGTCCAGATGATACACATAGTCATGATGGGTTGGGTCCACAAAACTGTGAGGTTGCTTCATATATACGTCCTCTTCAAGATCTCCATGGAGAAATGCATTTTGTACATCTAGTTGCTAAAGAGGCCATCCTCTAGAGAGAGCAATACTTAAAACAATAGGTATGGTTGTGGGGTTGATAGCAGGGCTGGATGTCTCTATATAATCAATGCCAGGACGTTGATGAAATCTCTGAGCAACTAGTCGCGCTTTATAGCGACTGATGCTGCCATCTGGGTTTCGCTTAATGCGAAAAACCAATTTGCATCCAACCAAATTGATGTTAGGTGGGGGTAGTACCAACACCCGAGTTTGATTGTGGTGTAAGGCATCAATTTCAGACTGCATAGCTTCTCGCCATTCTGGACTGGCATTGACCTCGGCAAATGATGTGGGTACAGTAGACAAAGAGGATAGTGGATACTTGGAAGCCATATATGTTTTAGGTTTGAATATCCCACTTTTGCTCCTAGTTTGCATAGGATGACGGTTCAGAGGAGCAGAGGAGGGCAACATCGGAGCATCATTAGTAGAGGAGGGAGAAACAAGCTCATTGGTACTGGTTTCTAGTACAAGTAAAGGAGATGGAGCAGAATCAGTTGGTGAAGGTGAGGTGCATGATTGTACCAAATCAGGTGATGCAGATGAGGGTGGTAAGGAGAGTGGTGGGTTAGCGGAATGTGCAATAGGAGGAGCAGCAGTAGTAGTGGGACATGGCACTGAAGGGGCATGACTTACCATAGGAGGCGGTCCAAGAGAGAACCGTGAAGGTGAAGACTGTTGTTTGGGTTCATGAGATTCAAATGGAAACACATCTTCATCAAATAGGACATGCCAAGATGTAAAAATGCACTGAGAGGGCAAATGTAAGTACCGATATCCTTTGTAATTATCATAGTATCCCAAGAACACACAAGCTGATGAACAAAAGTCCAGTTTATTACAAGCACAAGGACGAAGATATGGGAAGCATAAACACCCAAAAACCTTTAAGAACTCATAATCAGGCTTACGTTTGAACAATAGTTCAAACGGTGATTGCAAGTTGAGTGTTGGCGTGGGAAGTCTATTAGCCGGAAACACTACTACATGAAAGGCCTCCCACCAGTAATCTCAAGGCATTGAGGACTTTCCTAATAATGTCAATCCTGTTTCAACAATTTGGCGATGGCGTCTTTCAGCCATCCCATTTTGCTCTTACGTATGTGGACAAGAGAGTCGATGAGAAATGCCACTGTGCTCAAGGTAAGACTGGAATTTTCTAAACTCTCCCCCACCATCAGTTTGAACACATTTAATTTTAACATTGAAACGATTTTCAACTTGTTGTTTAAATTTGACAAATGTAGGAAGTGCATCTGATTTGTGAACAAGAGGAAAAATCCACTGATATCTGCTAAAGCCATCAACAAAGACAATATAGTACCTGAATCCATTAATGGAGTTCACAGGAGAAGGTCCCCATACATCACTAAAAATAAGTTCAGGTGGAGATGTATATGTAGTAGAACTAGAAGAGAATGGTAGTTTATGCGACTTGCCAAGAGGGCAAGAATGACAAAATGTCATCCGCTTATTAGAAGATAGAGAAAGATTATTGGAGGCGATGACATATTGAACCAGCCTTGCAGTAGGATGCCCAAGCCTTTCATGCCAGCGATCAATAGATGTCTGCACCTCAAGGAATGCAGTAGGAGGAGGGACATTATTTGTAACTCCACTTGAAATCCCCTATAACTCATACAAGTTGTGTTTACTATGACCCTAAAGTAACACTCTGCCTGTCTCCCGGTCCTTCACAAAGAACTCATTGGGGTGAAATTCAAAGAAATAATTGTTGTCCTTAGAAAATTTAGCCACAAAAAGTAAATTCTTAGTAATGTTGGGAACATGGAGTATGTCTTTCAAAATAAAGGAATGTTCAGAAGCATGTAATGTAGAGGTACCGGTATGTGCAATAGACAAACCTTCTCCATTGCCAATCGTTATTTGATCTGGTCCAGTATATTCAGATTGAAGATGAAGATTTGCCAAGTCTGCAGTTATATGGTGGCTTGCACCCGAATCTGGGTACTAACTGTTATCAATGATTGGACCAGTTGCAGCAGTGTATGCAGAAGGAGATGAATCAGGGCAAAAATTCTTATCAAAATGAGCCCTACACTTGTAAGCTGTATGATTGAATTTTAGACATATCTGGAACCTAACCCCTTGATAGGGATTAGGTTTCTTACCTTTCTGCTCACCTGGCTTTAACTTAGACTTGTAGCCATCTGTTTTGAATGACTAAGATTGCTTTTGCATTGCAACATTGGCCTGGGGAGATATTGGATCAAACAGAGATCTAGTGTGCTGCATTCGAATCTCATGATTGAGAAGAATAGCATGTATGCCATCAAATGATAGATCTTCTCCCTTCAGCAAGAGAGTAGTAACAAGAGATTCATAGTCTAGGCCAAGTCCTCCTAGCACAAATTGAATCAGTTCAGAGTCTGTGACTATTTCACCAACAGAAGTAAAGCTATCAGAGATCAAACGATCATTTTCTAGATAATCGGCCATTGACCGATTCATCTTCTTCAAATGGGTCAATTCAAATCTGTGTTGCATCACACAAGATTTTGATTTTGAAGCAAACAGCCTTGACAGGGCATTCCATACGCTTCTTGAGATTGTGTATCCAATAACCTGGGCCAAAACACCTTCTGAGAGAGAAGCAAGGATCCAACTGAGGAGCAACTGGTCCTGTTGTTCCCATAAAATGAAATCTGGATTCATGGTATAAGTACTATCCTTCTCAATGGTCTTAGGTGGGCATTGGATAGTACCATCAACATAGCCCATATCTTTAAAACCTTTGAGAGTAGCCACAAACTGAGATCATCATAGCAAGTAGTTCATGTGATCTAGTTTGATGGAGATTAAATGGCTTGTTGTAGCTGGCAGATTTAGGTTTACAACAGTTGTGACTCCAGCTTCAATAGCGCCTGAGCTTGCAGATACAGTCGACATGATTGAGTTGCAAAAGAGGTTAACAACCTGTGCTCTGATACCATAAAACAAAACACTATAAACAGTAATATCACAGAACACAGAAATTAGTAATCTCACCTTGATGATTTCGATGAGTTCTTGGACTTGAATTTATGTTGATTCTTAAGAGTACTATGTGTACAGGAGTCTTCATCATACATGTACAAGATAAGAATGCAGTAAGTTAGAACATGATAGAAATCGACATGTGTACAGGATAGAGTTTGATAGATGTATGACTCTATCATACTCTATTAGGGATAATGTTTGTTTACCCAACAGATGGGGTGGGCTTGGCCTAAATTACTATTCTTGGTTAATAAAGCTTGCCTAGTTAAGGTTGGTTGGAAAATTCTTAAGACAAGCATAATCTTTGGGTGCAAGTAATGACTCAAAAATATCTAAGGGATGAAAATCTATGGAATGCTCCTTTAAAAAGAGGGATACCTTAGGATTGGAAAGGAATTCTTAATTCTAGAATTCTTCTTAAGAAAGGTGTTGGATGGACCATTGGCAATGGCAGAAATATCAATTTCTAGAAAGACAAATGGATTGACTTTGGTGCCATTAAGGATTTAGTGAATAGAGAATCCTCTAGTGTTGATAACGATATTAAAGTATGGGATTTCATTGACCACAAGAGAAAGGTGAGGAAGGATGATAAGATTTGTAGAACTATTCCTAACCATGTTTGAAATAACAGTAGGCCCATTCTAATCCCTTCAGATTCTAGTGATGATAACCTTATATGGAGATTTGGTTTTGAAGGAAATTTCACCATTAATTCTGCCTACAAAGAGGTTAATGCTATGTCGAGGGGGTTGGGGGGAAGAAATTTGGTCCTTAGTAAGATATGGGGGCTTTAGATACCCCAAAATTAAAAGCATTATTGTTTTTGTTTTTGAATAATCGCCTGCCCACAAAATCCCTGGTCATATCTAGGGTGCTCTCCATTGATGGCTATTGCTTTTTTCTATGGCAAAGAAGATAATAGTGAGCATATTTTCCTTAAATGCACTTATGCAAAACAAGTATAGCTTATAATTAACCCACTCATAGTGGGTTAGGGAATTGGAGGCTCTTCAATTTAGAATTGGTGGTCAAATTTACACAATGGAGAAATGATGGGGGAACAAATGCCCTACAAGAAATATAGCTTTATCCTTTTGTATCTCTAGAAAAATAGAAGTGGTAAAGAGTTTAAGAATAGATCCCTTCCCCCCTTCACGTATCATTGAAAGAGCTCTAATCTCACATAGGGAATCAAATTCGGGTTTGGCTACTAATAACAATCCAAATAGCTCAGAATCATGGAGAACCATCATTTGGAAAGTGCTAAAAGATGATACTAATAAAATAAATTTTGATGCCTTGAGAAGAAATGACGAAACTTGTTTGATTACTTGCATAGAAGAAATCGTTGTGGGGATGTATTGGATTTCGAAGCTTCCTTTATTGGTATCACCACAATAATTTTTACTGAAGCTTAGGCTGCTTTGGAAGCCCATAATATGGCTCAAAACTTCAAGAGTTCTCCCATCTATATTGCAAGTGACTCCCTCGTAGTGATTTCATGCCTGAAGAAAAGCTAACTAAAGTACCTTGGAGGCTGAAGACCATCATCAAAGAATGTTTGAGACTGGTTGATAAATTGGATCATAGTGTCTCATATGCCCATTCCTTCAGAGAAGTGAATCAAACTGTGGACTAGTTGGTGCATCAAGATTTTTTCTCTGCTGTCCCTTTTTCCTTTTGTATCTATTCTCTCCCTGAGGATTTATTGAATATCTGTAGAAATGATTCATGGGGCCTAGATACTCTCGTCTTGTGTAGCTTCCTTTAGTTTTTACCAGAAAATGAAGATATTGAAATAGTTGGATATGCTAGGGAAATGTGTTAGAGAATAAAAACCTATTTAGGGGCCTCACCTAATAGCTTAAGATTTTAGGCTGAGCAAGTTGCTAACCGGCTGGTTGGTAAGGTCTCTCACTAGTTGTAGCAGAGACTTGGGATCAAATTTAACCTGCACCTGGGGTTGGGGGATGGGCTACCCCCAATTGCATCAGTTGGAACAAAAGCATTTTAAGTTGAATAGTTTCTTAAGATGGTATTAGAGCTAGTTTGACCAAGTAGTCTAGGGTTTGATCCTCATTGCCCTCATTATAATTATTAAATTTCAGAATAGGGTATGGGTGGACTCATTCTTGTTCACATTTCAAGCCCAATAGGCTTTCGCATGAGGGGGTGTGTTAGGGGGTGGAAATGAATCAAGCTTTTCATGAGCTATTCAAGCTCGACTCGTGAAAAGCTCGATTCGGCTTAATTTAAATTGAGTTCAAGCCCAATATATAAACTCGTTTATTAATCGAGTCGAGCTCAAGCCCAATGAAGCTTGGCTCGGGGCTTGCAAGCCTAATCGATCCTAATACATACATATAATAAAAATTACTATATGTATAATAGTTTATTTTTATAAGAATGATAATAAATAATTTTTATAATTGTTAAATTTTTGTATGTAAAATAAAAAATAATTTTCATATGTATAACTTTTATTTTTTATAGGAATCTTAGATTACATTCAAGCTTAAGTCGAGCCAAGCTCGAACATATGAGCTTTTAGGCTAAGTCAAATTCTAGCTCAAGTCTCGAGCTTGAATCTCACATTATTTTAACGAGTCGAGCTTGAATAGCTAGATATTCGCCTTGGTTCAAATCCACCCCTTGTGTTAGAGAATAAAAACCTATTCAAGGATTTCACCTAACAGCTTAAGCTTAGGTTGAATGGTTCCTTGAGAAAATACATACAAGTCACTTGAGAAAAGCACATTTTAATATGGTATACGAAGAGAAACATTGCAATCAATAATACCACGATGACTCTAAAACATGTACACATCATACAATAGTTATCATTTATAATTTTTACTTTCTAAGAAAATCTGTTTATTTAATATTTTTATATAAATAATAATTATTTTTTCAAATAATAAATATGTTTTTATTTTTAATATATAATTGTAAAATAAAACATATAAATCATTTAAGGTAGATAAGATAGATTGTTTTATAATTTTCAGTTTTTATTAAATTTTTGGGAAAATTAGATCTTAAATTATTTATTTCAGTTTTTATAATAATAATTTTCAATTTATATTAATTTTGTTTAGAAAATTTATTTATTTAGTATTTTTATATAAATAATAAATCTGCTTTTCCAAATAATAAATATCATATAAATCATTTATGGCGGATAAAATAAATTATTCTTATAACTTTTAGTTCTTATTAAATTTTTGGGACATTATTTATTTCAGTTTTTATATTTTTTTATTAAAGTTCAAAAGCATTCCAAAAATGATCAATATACAGTTTCGTCAAACTATGCACTAATACAGAAGCATATTGATGTGTATTGAAGCCAAGGATTAAAATATTGACATATACGACCTGATACGGAGATGTTTCGTGCTAATACATACACAACTTGCACAAACATATTGGTATGTGTCGGACCATTTCCGCTGATATGATGGGATACGACCTGATATGAAAGCGTCCTCTGCTGATAGAGAGTATCTTATGATACTTTAAACCTTATTTACACTTTCAAGTGGACAACTTCAGCCTTGAAACGGAAGCTTTTGTCTGAGATTTGAATTAGCTGGCGTTCCTGTTGGGCGCTAGGCATTCAAAGAATGTAAGTGGAGTCAGGGTTGAGAGTGGTGGGAATCAATGCTCAACCGATTATTTTAGGAAAAAACAAATAAAAAAGTTAAAAATCGAACTTGGTTGTAACTCACCACCACTGCAAGTGGTGAGAACTGAGATGTGAAAATGGAAAGGAAAAGTGATAAGAAGCTGGAGCAAGGGTCTTACTGTCTTAGAGTCAATGGGGACATTCTGGGTATTTAAATATTAATGGGTTTTAGAAACGCAAGAAGCCAAAAGCCACCCATCCATTACTTTTTCCTGGGTTTTTTCGGCGGAGAAAGCCCATTTACTGCTTTTTTTCACTAAATGCAATTTAGAAGTGCTTTTATCTTAAGCTTGCAATCGCAATAAGAAATTAAGAACTATTAAACCACACCAAACATGGCCGTACATGGTTCATTCCTAAAAAGATTTTGAAATTAATTATATTTATCCAATGTTTAAAATATCGATACGCCAGTAGTGGTGGATCGGTAGTTTTATCTTTTTATTATTTTTTCAATTTTTGTTTCAAATCTGATTCAGAGGGCCAGTTTAAGATCCGCCCACCCTCTGAATCAGTTAGGACTCCGAAACATCCCCTATAAGAATGTATCGAAAAGCCCCCGATGCGATAAATATCGGCCAATTTGTATCTAAACAACCTTGATATTATCTCATTGTTGACGTTTGCACATTTGGCCAAATTGCAATTAAGGCTCAGCGTGGAAAGAGTACAAGTACAAATGTGCAGAGTACAAAATCTTATATTTTGTATTATTTTTGTATGTATTTGCATGTATTTTTACTATTTCCAAACTAAGCCTAAAAAATCTCTTCATCACTGCACATTTGCACCACTTCAAACATTTTAGTTCAACCAAACTGTGTTCCAACAACATTCATTTTTTCTCCCAGACAAAAAAGTAAAAAAGAAATAAAAAGACAAAAAACTACACAAGTACGACACACTTGTCTGTTCCTCCCCTCCCCTCGCCTCAATTACCTCATCCATATCCACCGCTCATCAACTCAAATTTACAGTTGGAAAAATCGCTGAATGTAAGGCATTGTACATGGGATCTCAGGAACCTTATGACCTCAATATTCAATTCTCGTTCTCAATAATGGGACACTGTACACTATCCCGGAGGTTGTATATACAGAAGGATACTGCACCATCTATTCTCAACAGCTATTCCTTAACGATGAGAACGTCGAAGAGTTGAAGAGGATGGGTTCAAAGAATTTGATGAAAGAATGAGTTAGCTATAACCAAACTCTCAAGGACAACCAGCAGTTTCATTTAATCGGATAGCATCTCCTCTAATTCCGGTTCCTCAGATTTGAGAAGCAGGCTATAATCCATATCATTTCCATTGGTCAACCCTTTTTCTCCAAGCCCATTCTGATTTTCCATGTAATCTAAATCAGACCAATCTGGCTCATCATCAGGAGAATGGTCATCGGCTGATTCACCAGTTTCTTTCCCTGTATTATTTACTCTGCCATTTTCATGGACTTTTGTCCTTTGGGAACCTGAATCTAACTTGACCTTAGCCTCTGGATCTTCACATATGCAGGTAGATGGATTCTCATGAAATTCACCTCTGCCAGGTCTTACCTCCTTTGGCTCTCCCATGAACCCTCGCTGGTGAGTACGAACCCTAGATGCAAATGCTTCCCAGGTCATGTTATCTCGGCTGAGAAACAAAGAGTACAGTTTCTTAGCATTCGGCCGAATAGTTCGTTTGTGTCCAAAGTATCTCCTGCAATGAGCATACCAAAATGCATAGTCAGTCACCAGTTTTGAGTTAAACAGTGTCATTTGCAAAGGACAAGAAAACAAATAATGGTGTACCTTCGACCAGCTAACATTCTAGCCATGTTACCATTATTATTGGTCACAAATACATCACTTTCATCACAAACAATGAAATCAAGCGCAGCCATACGTGAAGAAAATGAGGAGAATGGTGCCAATTCCTCCTTACTGGATATAGTTTCCTTTGTATAGAAATTTGGGAACAATGCCTTGAGGGGGGCTAATGTTTCTTCACCTCCATATACTTCACCAGATGCAACATAGATGTGAATGTCACTGCCAAATCCCAATGCTCTCAGCATAAGACCAACTTCCTCAGGAGTGAGTGGGCACTTTCCATGCCTCCTCTCCTTGTCAGGATTACTTCTCTGCTTATATCGTTCAGAATAGATGTCATTCATGGACAAAAATAACAGAGGTTATATAATTTCAACAAATATTTACAAGTTCACTGCCTTACATGCAGAGTTTTCCACCTCTTACGGATTGCACCCAGTTCCCTCCTTTCCTTCTCTCCTCCACCATAATAACATCCGGAGAATGCAAGCATATCAGGTTCAAACCTGTCACAGAAATTTCCATCAAGAAACTTTTTTACTCAGTCTTCACCCCCATCTTCATACAATTCTGATAAAAAGAAATTATGCAAAGCTAACCGCAAAGGTATTACAATTTGAAAACCTAGGTTCCACCAAGGATTAAAATTTTGCAACATATAGGGGCATATTAGCCGATACGCATCATATTGGTGACCCTCCAAATAAGCCCCTACAGTGAGTGTTTCGGGGTCTGACCTGTTTCACGGGGTAGACTGGCCTTTAAGCGACTCCCCTAAACCAATTTGAAAAAAAAACTAAAAGAATGAAAGGCAGCCAAAGATACATGCTGATACGCCCCATCCGGCATATCAGCCCGTATTAATATTTAGAACCCATGGTTCCACCCTTAAAAGGTTGCAAAATAAGCTAATTGAACTAACCTTTCTAATTATTGGGCAAATTCTTGTATCAAAGTCTACTAGAAACTTAACAAAAGCCTGATCAGAAATATATTTTTATGCACTCAAATAGGCATTCCCTTATTGAATGATCAGATCAAGTAAATAGCTTTGATGTTTGAAGATTCATCCTGATTGAATTTTTTTACAAACAATCAAAAAGCATTATTAAAACAAAATTTGTGAGAAAAGAGATATACAAAAAGGCCTTAAATAAAATGTTTTACAGTATAGCACCCCTCACACCCAGAACATGTCACCTATAGACAATCTCTATGTTTCAAACCCTTAAACTCATTAAGAACAAGAACCCCATCAAGAGATGACAAGTACCCAACAACAGGCCTGTTCCCTGCAAAAACTCTTCTTTTGTGTTCCTTCCCATCTGCCCAACATATGGCAAAGAAACCATATACCACATAATGAAGCCCATAGATCCTACAGAACCAGAATACCAAGGCAGAATTTCCTGTCATGCTGGAGGGAGAAGACCATTAAATGAGATCTATGACACAGCAGAAAAAATCCCAAAGGACACATGGCTGGGACAAAAAAGAAAGAGATCATACACCAATTCTTCACAAGATTTACATATGATAATAGTTGTGTTTCTGCACCTCCCCCCCGCTTCTTTCATTTAACTGATCAAAAATTAGAATTTTATCAAGGATCACAAAAAATATTCGAATTTTATCAAGGAACAGCAACAGGGAACCTTTCTACCCCAAACCTATCCTAGTATGGATGATCCAGAAATGAATCAAGCAAGAACAATAGAAAAGGATCTTACCAATAACCTTTTCAAGCTTACTATGAAGACAACGCATGTTGAAATTTCTCTATGCAATAGGGGTATAATTCAAGTAGAAAGCCAGTTATCTAGCCTAAATGACTGACATGTATATGAAACATGAGGTGGAGGGATGATTTGGTCAATCAGGCCAGTCCACTTCAGTCCACTTCAGCCTGCACCCTGGCTTTTATTACTGTTTTCCACAAGTAATATTGACTGGTGAAAGTTTCAACATCTTAATACTGAACTTGTTCAAAAGGAGAGGTTTATTCTGATCATGTCACGAGTTCCTGGGTCTCAAATTTTCTTCATTAAGAGAGGATACTGAGACATATGGAGATATTTTGGTTAGAAACCAATTGCCTAGCATGCACACATGTGCACACACACATGAACCTGTTCATGGGCTTAGCTTTTGCCAAATTTTGAATCGGCTGGCCCAAAGTAGTGCAAAATGTTCATGGGCCAAATCCAAAGCCTGGCCTGTGAACAGGTCTACACACATAACAGACCGAAGATCAATTCTACTCTTACCTCAAGTGCAAGGCAATAAAATGTCTGCTTCTCATTCGCATCCTTTGGACCAACTTTTTGCCCATTTTAAGAATTGGATCAGTAAATTTCAGAGCATGGTAATTCACTCTGCATCTCAGCTTTTGAAAATCTGTCTCCAATTTATTTGCCAGCCGGTAATCAAACTTGGTGAGCTGAACAGCCTGTATTGCAGAAAGGCTAAATGAGTTTCACATGGCATTCTAACTTGGATCAAATTCCCAACAGAAAAAATGAACATTTGAAGTCATGGATGTATTTATCTAAATCCAGTAGGGTATAACCCTCTATAGCTAACATTAGTTGATGTTATAGTCACATTGAATTAATTTCACCCACGGAATGATAGTGCATTTAATAACTAATTAACCATTCTAGTACCCTTTACTTCAACATTGTAAAATATATTAAATGTTGTAAAACTTGGAAAGGAGGAATAAACTAAAGCAAGGATCACCAGTTGATCTTCCCTTGCCAACCCATCATTAGAGCCAGGTCTTCATCAGGGCAACAACAATGTCTGGCCCTCAGTCCAGAACTGTGGCAACACCATCCTAAACATATAATCTGTTTCAGACCAATAACTGTCAACACTAGACCAGCAATATCAGGTCTTTGTCAGGGCAACAACAGTACCTGGCCCCAACCCAGCACTGTGCCAACACCAGCTCAACCATAATCTCTGCTTCAAAGCCAGATCTTTTCGAGGGAAACAACGACACCTGGCCCCATCTCAAGACTGCCAACACCAGCCCCAAGATAATAATGCTTGGATCAACTAATGAAAATCTTATCTCAACAATATCAGGCTGGTAAAAAATCGTTTCTACCCATTCCTAAGCAATGTTTTAAAATGTGGAGGCGTGATGCAAGGTGTTCCACTACCTAGAGGTGTGAGCCATAGTTCAGAATGCAAGAGGCGTAAGCCTCCCAAACACAAGGAGGCGTAAGCCTCCTTAAGAGGAGGGGGGTAGGAGGAGGATGAAGAGAAAGGGGGGATCTCATTTTTTCTTTATTTTTAATAAAAATCTTTTATATTAAGAAGAATAAAGATGCATAACATTAGTTTAAGGGGGGGGGAGGGTCTTGTTGAAGGGGCAGGGAGCAAACTACTTTCTTTCCCCTTATATTTTCTTCCCTTCCCATTACTTTTATTTTCTTTCCTTTTCTCTTTTTTTCTTCTCTTACTCTTCCCTTTCTTTTCCTTTCCTTTTTTCCTTTTTTTTCCCTGTCTTTTTATGTAAGATGTGCATGAGGTGTACGCCTCATGAAAAAAGAGCATGAGGTGTACGCCTCAAAGGTGTCAGTGCCTCTGGCATACACCTCAAGGAATTTTGGAAGCGCCTCGCCTGGAGGCGCGTCTCCAGGCATATGCCTCCCATGCCTTTTAAAACATTATTCCTAAGATAATAATCCCTATGCTTTTCTTTTACAAGGCGTCCTTTGAGGCTCGGCGCGCCTAATCGCCAAACAGTTTTGTACTATGTATTATAAAATACTTTTTATTAATTAATTTTTGACACTAAAATTATAAAATAGGCACTATTAAACTAAAATATTCATTTTGTGTTTATATGCTAATTTCTTTTTATTATTTTCTTATTTGTTAGGGTTTAATCAATATAAACATTGCTAAATGCTGTGTTGAACCCCCAAAGACTTTAAAACCTGAACCAATAAGGAAGAACTTAAAATTTTGTCTAATCAACACATTTTCTACTACTGCCTGTACTACTACTACACATTTTCTTTTCTTCTTTTCCTATAGCAAAAATATGGGTTCAGCCCCTATATTTTTTTGAATTTTCTTTTCCTTCTTTTTCTTCTCATGAATATGTTGATTTTCTATACTTTAACATGAACTCTATACTTTTCTTATGAAAATTATGAATAATTCTTAAGGAAATATGGTTATGGTACCTAGGGAACTACCCTAGGATCTATATTTTCTACATAAAAAAATCCATTGCCTAGGCACCCCGCCTAGGCGACTAGGCRACAAGGCGCCCCCTATCGCCTAGCCTCGTCTTGGCGCCTTCAAAACTATGGGTCCTATTGTTAGACAGTTTATGTATGCCCTTAGCTTCAATCTGATTTGATGTACTTGTTATTTAGTGGAAATAAATAAAGTGCATGTTTGATTCATGTTGTTTGGTTTA